TATTATAAAAATTATAGTGCACTAATTTTTAAAAATATTCACATAAATTAAGTGTACAATGTGCACAACTTTCACATATTTTTGAGGTGAGATTTTATATACTGGTCACCAGTATATTTACTATGATCAATACCACCAATTGTAAATTCACTCTCCGTTCTGTCTGCTTCTCTTCCAATCTTTAAAGAGAATATTTGATTTGGATCACTAAAATCTTGTAGAATATTTTCATAAAAATTTTCTTCAGGTTGTTTTACCAAATCATTTTGTGAAGCCAAACCGAGTATACCATTAAATCTATCGAATTCAAAATTTTTGGGAAGTACATAAATTAATCCAACATTCAAGCCAATATTCTCAATAAAGCCACTATTATTATTTAAACCAGAATTATATCTATTAATATTCATAGAGGTGGTGATACCCCTTATTTCAAATACATATATACCGAAATAAGCATAACCAAAAGTTTTATTTTTCGTTTTTAAAATCTATTATTTACTGGATTATATTTAACTTTGTTTTTTCATGCCACAGAATTACAATTTATAGATGGAATTAAAAAATCCCCAAATCTAGTGTTAATTATTACATTGAATTTTTGATTACTGAGAGTAATTTCACAAAAATACGCATTGTCATGACTAAATTCATTTGATAAAGACACATTAGTAGCTCGTTTTATATTAATAGCATTGGATGATCCTGAAGCATAATGTAGTATAAGCGAATTAGAAATTGTGATTTAGATACTTTAGTAGGCAATACGTTAATAAGTAGTAAACTTGAAATTATAAGGACAAATATATATCTAATTTGCATGGTAAATTAAGATATTTAATGATCAATCTATAGAAATTTTTTTAAATTCTGTTTATTTTTCAAAAACTAGAAAAAACAGATCCATTAATTAGGGGGTTTCAGACTTAAGATTCAGGTTTTTGATTTGAATTAAATTAGTGACGTATTAATTTTGTAATCAGAGATTTATAAATCCTATTTATTTTTATTTGCAAGCCTATTTATATAATAAGATATAATATATTTTATTAAAAAAAAGTTTGTTTATTTTATCTTCGGACAACTCCTTTTTCATTTTCTGATTTCGAAATTTCAAAACAAAAATAGGACTTTTCAAACTTCCACTTATTTTCAAAATAAGTTAAATATAAATATTTAATTTATCATCCTCGACTGTTCAATAATATTTTCATGATAAAATTTAAATGATTTATTTATTTTGCGCCATTAATTTAAGTCCCTGTTTAGAAATAATTCATTAACATTGCACCGTAAAATATATCAATTAATTAATAAGATAGCTGCACAGTATGTAATGCCGCGCAGGGCCAGTATAATCACACGTGCAAAAATATAATATAGTTATATTAAACCAGAAAAAAATATCAATATGATATATTTAGATCTATATAATTTAATCACCATCTGATGATACATATGCGATTGAGTTAGTTGCATTCAAATTATCGTGATTTCTATCATGTTTTCTATCATGAGTTTCTGCAAAAATCCTTTTCCAAAACTTTATTCAACATCTCACTAGCACATGGATTATGTCAAGATCAAGTTAGCTTATGTCAGAATTATCACAATTCTTTCATGAGTTACTGTACTGTAAATATTCTTGTAAAACTTACTCGCTATTTCAGTAGTATATAATGATTAGAATTATCATAATTTCTACTGTGAGTTACTGTAAAGTATTTAGTTAAGAATTTACTAATATAGTACACAGTATTAATATTAGGGTTGATTTAGTTTATATTGAAATTATCATGTTTTTCATCATTAATTGTGGTAAATATCTTGTTATAAGCTTCTTGTATAACTGATTTATCCCCTGCTATCCACATCACATACTTTCATGTACTTTATCAAAAATCTTTTTTTTTATTAGTGCTTTTAATTCAAAGAAAAGAAATATGGTTAGAAAATATTCGATACTTACTGTTATATTTTATTTATTTAACTATAAAAGTTATAACATTAAAATTTTACTGTAATTTTTAAAGAACCCAGTTTTAAACTTGCTCCCGAGCTCATACAAGTTGATCCAGAAACTCGAGCATTAAATACTCTAAAGGAATCCAGCTCAAAACTGGAATCAACTAATAGATCTTCAATAAAATCAAATAAAAAAACAACCGAGGTTATTAATTTATTTAATTAGTAATAATTAATAGCAAGTATATAACAAATTAATATTTATTTAATTTTTTATAGTATAAATCTAAATATCAACGCCTATCTGATAACACATTGGGTCATTATAAACAAGCGGCAGTTCCAAAAATACTCAAAAAAGTAATGAACTTTGGATTTCACGATTTAATAAATATGTTAAAGATACGCAACCTGATCTTGATTTTATAAAATTTATGACAAGCTTATACTTGCTGTTTTACTTTCTGAATTTATTGTTGCAATTAGAAAACGAGATAAAAGTGAATATAAGGCTGATTCTTTATATAATTGAATATGTGTAATAAACTGATATTTTGTTGAAAAATTTAAAGAAGTTAGCCCTTTTAGTTTACATGATAATTTTGAATTTGCTTCTTTTCGTGATATTCTTCATTCAAGAATGCGAGAATTAGAAGAAATTCATAATAGAGCATACCAAGGTGCTGATCCACTAAGTGATGATGATATGAGGCAAATATTTGAACATCATGAACTTAATCAGGATACACCTGTTGGATTGTTTCGCAGAGTCTTTTTATGAATAGGTTGTACAGCTAAACGAGGTGGATCATATTTAGATATAAAGGCATCCCATTTTAAAGAATGCCAAGATGAAGGATTTAATATTTTAACAATTCATAACAAGACCCATAAGGGTGGTTATTATCACCATAATACTTCTGGTTCTAAACACAATACAGCTCCACAAATCATACCTGCAGATGAATTAGGAGTTATTGGGGCATGTGCTGATATTAAAAAATACTTAAGCTTACGACCAGAAAATGCTGAACCAAATTTTTTTTACAAATTAATGGATTGGATTTACTGATTTGTACTAAAACTAGACAGTTTTATAAAATTCATAGAGATGCCAAAACTTAATA